AGATTATTCGAAGGCCAGTCCCTCTCTTGTTTCCCCTCTACCCAGCTGTGATTTGGGTTCTTCTTGGTTCACAGAAAAAGGAATTAGAAGTAGAACTGAGTTTTCTACCACCAGTTTTTCTTGTGATTCCTAAGCATCCAGGAAGTGCCCCCTCAACAGGAGTCTGTGTAGTTCTCAGGTGGAAGCAAAACATCTCTGGAGCCTTCCTCAAAATAACAGAGGTTTTTGTTGTTGGTATTTGCTGCATTGTTTCTGTGTTTGTGCACAATCTCAGTGTCAGTTGTAGTGACTTTCCTTAATAGCCTGGGAACACTGGAATTGGGTTGGTGCTTACTTAAGGTCTTTTTCTCTGTCACTCAAACCAGGGTAAAGCTCTGTACCCATCAGTGTAACTCACACACTCTCATTTTAAAACCCAAACATATATGTTATGCATATGTTTGCAATATCTAGGGTTCCCCCCTCCAACAACTTTTTAAAAAGTACTTCTCACAAGTGGAAGATGTGACCTGCAGTGAGGTCCAGCAAATTCAATTCAGCAAATACTTCCAGATTCCCTCTACACTTTGTAAACTACAGTGCTATTGTGGGCAATTCAAAGATAAATAGGATGATTTCTTCCTCCAGGGTCTCCCAGCCTTATGGCAGAAATAGCCAGTGGAACATACGTGACTCAATGGCAGATTGTAATTTGTGTTTTAATGGAGTTGCAGGCCAATGGCACAGGAGAAGAGGGCACAGAGAGGTTAAATCCATGTGGGGGATTGCAGGACTGCTAAAACCCAGCAAAAGCTGGCATTGGAGCAGAGACATAAGTAAAGACTGGGCTTTGAGGAGCCAGAATCGTCCAGCAGGAAGGAGATAGGAGCACAGTGGGGTAGGTTGGTCTATTAACCTGGGAACTAGGAATCAACTCTATTCTTGATGCTCTGAGTATGGGAATAGTAGCAACTCAACCCCACTACCAGAACTGCTGTAGCAGAATCTTTGTTTGAACAAGATCCCCAGGATATTTGCATACAAGCTCAAGTGTGAGAAACCCTAGGTTTATTATATGAATGCTGTCTTTAAAAGATTCAGCTAAGAATAACGCCTTCCATAGCGACTCAGTCTTAGTTGTAGGTCCATGTTGCCTGAAGGAGCTTAAAAAGGGACTGGTGCCAAGCCTCATGTGAGACCAATAAATATGGAAGGAGGTGGGGCCTGATTGTTAGTGCTTTTAAACTTTCCACATCTGACTGTGGCTGGCAGCTGGGTTGAGACCACTTTCTTGCCTCAACATCAAAATTGAGACCCGATGGATGGTTGGATTCACCCATCATGGCAGATTTGGAAAACAATCAAAAATAGTAATTGAGAAGAACAAATATCAAATGGGTAAATTCTGTGTGCTATCACCTGATAGTGATCCTGGGCATATGCAAATTCTCTCTCCAAAAACTGTGAGCTCCCTAAGGAGGCTCTGCTTGCTATGCGGGCCCAGGTGTGATCACCTTTATTCTCTAATTCCTCCTGATGTAGGTTAGAAGGGCTCATCTGCAGGGGCCCATCCCTGGCTTCTTATGTCCTCTCTTTATTGGTGTCCCTGACCCTGCTGGCTGGCAGTAGGGACATCCCAAGGCCACCTCTCTGCCACAGAATGTAAATACTGCTAAAACCAAACAAAAATATTGCTTAGTTCTTCCAGGCGAAGCATCACCCTCTCTCCAGGGTCTCAAGGTGTGAACTGCATTCCCCTATAGCTCAGTCCCCCTGGGGCTCTTTTTATCCTATTTTTATCCTGCTCTGAAGCCCTTACTGTCTTTTGAGCCCCTCTTCTTTTATACAGCTTCTGGATTCCTGTTTATGAAGGAGCCCTCTTCACCCTCCATATTTTCCGGTTCCCCGCTCCCATCTGGTCTCTCCTTGCCATCATCCTATCCAGTTACTAAGGAGACAAGTCTATCAGGAGTGTCTAAAGTGGCCCGACCCTGCGTGACATGGTCTCACCTGCAGCACCTGTTGCTTACTTTCCGTGCTTTTCTGAAGGTGATAATTTTGCAGGTGTGTGTGGCGGTGGGGGTATACCACCCTTTTGGCTGGTTGTGTAGAAATAGCTGCCACGAGAAGAAACACCTCCCCACTCCACGGCATTGCTGGTTTCTTCCTGTTTTACTTCAAACCTTCTCTTTCCCCAAGCCAGTTTCATTACCAGGTGCTGGAGCTTGGACTTGCAGAGAAAACCCAAACTTTTGGTTCGCTCTTGCCTAGGTTAAGCAGGCGACAGCTGAGAATAACTTGGCAACTGATAGGGATCCTCCACCCAGAAGGTCTAATGCTTTCTCCTCACAGATGCCTTTGATCTGCAATGTTTCCTCCCAGCCCTTTCCAGAACAGCACAGTGGCTGTATGCTGAAATCATCTTGTCAGGGGCTCTGAGAATATCTGAGCTCAGTGTAGGGGTCCTTCCCAAAGAACTGATGTTCTCTTTAAAGCTAGTGGAAAGGGATATGGCAGCTCATACCTGGGGAGATGAGGTTCCCTTCCCCAGGTAGGCTCTGCTTCCCCGGGTAGGATGACATCTTTTTTCTCCCTTAATCTCATGCAAAATGCAACCCAGGTGAGCTGGGATGTGGTAAAGAAAAGTGCTGGCCTAGTATGTGTGAGGCCCTGAGTTCCATCCCTAGTACCACCAGGGGAATAAATAAATGCAGTCTAGGCACCATGGGGCACTCAAATTTGTTTCTAATAGGTGCTCCAAAGGTGTGATGTCAGCACATCAAATATCAGAATGTCCTCACTAAATGCATCTCAACCACCTTGTGCAGGGTGGGGAGAACAGCTGGGGACAGAAGGTAGAGGGAAGCCTCAGACAGGCTGCTGTATTAGAATGCAAGCAGCAAGGGGCACACATTCCAGATGGTTCTAGGAGGTAGTGGGCTTATGTGAGGAAGGGAAGCAAGACATCTGCATCACCTGACACCTCAGTCCCCTGCTCTGAACTCTCCAGAGCCTCCCTATTCCCTCCAGGGACAAACCCAATATTTGCCTATTACAAATGCCCCCAGCTGCCCTCTTTAGGTCCTGAAGGTGCCATAACCCACTTTCCTCTAGGCCTTTGCACATGCTGTTTTTTCTGCCCTTCCTTATGAGCTTTTCCTGTCTGAATCCAAGGCTCAAGGCTAGAGCCCTTCTCTCTGTGTCCTCTACTTACAATCTTTAGTGTCACATTCGTGTCACCAGAAGTATATGTATTTGCTTGTTCGTTCTGTCCATCCTCCTAGGCCAGGGGCCAAAACCATTTCCTGTAAAGATCAGACAGTAGGTTTCATAGGCTTTGGAGCCAGACACCTGATGTGGTGACCTCTCAGTTTGGCTGCTCTGACACACGAGCACAGACAACGTGTGAATGAATGAACATATGTCTAGTATCACCGTGGCACACTCCTGGCAGTGGGACCCACGGCCTGTGATTTTTCTGACCACTGCTTTAAAGACCACAATAACTTTAAGGCAGGCTTTTTCTTACTCATTGTTGCTACCCTTCACAGCCCTGGGTCATAGAAAGTGTTAGATGAATATTTGGGGAATGAATACAGGACCCTTGGGCATAACCTACAAGGTAGAGCATCGTTTCTCAGCCTAGGGTTTCTTAAGAGTTGGCATTTGGAGGCAGATAATCCATTATCCTGTGCATTATAGGTTACTGAGCAGCATCCGGGTTTCTAACCACCTAAATGTCAGAATCAGACCCCTTTGCCACGGGTCAACCAAAAGGTAAACCAAAAATGTCTCCAGATGTTGCCAATCGCCCCCTAGTGGGCAAGGGCAGAACCACCTGATGTTGAGAACTGTAGAGAGAGATATGTATGGTAGGGGACAGGAGATGGTAGCATTAGCCAAGGGGGTAGTTATTTGGTAAAAGGAGGAAAGAAATCCTTATTGTACACGTTTTTATAAAAAAGAAACTAAACATTTTAAACGGTACTATTTATTGCCTGTATATCTTTCCGGTCTCATTTCTGCACGTTTTTAAAAAAGAGATTATTCTATGCATATTCTTTTGCACACTGCTCTTTTTAATGTGACATTACTTCTATGTCATTACATATTTTCCTACAATATTATCTGTAGTGGCTGCAGAATATTGCATTATTTCATTGTGCCATAATTTATTTAACTACCACATTCATGAATTATTTATTAATTGCTTCAGTGCCAGCTGCTCTGCAAGAAACAAATTAATCCAACAAGGCCCTGCCCTTTGGAGCAACAGGCTAGCAGAAAATGAAGGGATTCACTGAATTAGTGTAGCTGTGTGGAGTGTTAAGAAAGGGTAATGTGGGAATCCATAACAGTGGAACTTAACCTGGAGCCAGGGACGGAGGGTCACAAGGGATATTTAAGGCTTTGGTTCTCAAGCTTGATTGAGCATCTGAATCCCCCGAGAGCTTGTGAAAACACAGATTGCCAGGCCCCACCCTGGACTCCTGGCTTGTTAGAGGGCTCTGAGATTCCTTATTCATAACAAGTTCCCAGGTGGTACTGCTGCTGCTACAGGGACCAACCTCAAGGAACTGCTGTATTTGAAGTGTTTCCATTTTTCACCATAATAAACAACTGGTAATGAATATCTTTCTGGGTAATGAATAAGCAACCCATAATCACCCATAAGCAGCCCTGATTGTAAAGGAGAACAAACTAACATTAGGAAGGAAGATTCTGGGTCTGGACTACTTGTACTGTGCCACATAAGCTCTGGGTGATGCAGTTTCTGCATCTGTTAAAAGGGCTGGTGGTGTGATTTATATGAGTAAATATCAGAGAAAGCACTTAGAACTGACCGGATAAACAGAACATCTTCTTGCTATTGTTAGTGTCAATGTTGTTTCCTTAAGATAAATTCCGGGTAGAATTTCTGGCTTAAAGATTAGGCAGAAATATGAAAAAGATAATAATAACAACAACAACAAAAAGAAGAGGCAGAGATATAGGATTTTCAGAATATACTACCACTTTTATTACCAGAAAGAGTTTAGCTTTAAATTTTAATTTATAATTGGGAACAGTCATTCTCAAAATGTGGTCCCTGGAAAGAGCATCGAGTGGGAACTTGGAAATGTAGATTCCTAAGCCCCACCCCAGCCCTGTTGAGGCAAAGTGGGAGGACCACTGTTTGAGAACTTCTTTGGGCTTCTGTTCACAGAACCAGCAGTACCTGAGCCATTAGGATGTTTCTCAGATGGGGTGGCAGGGAAAGGTCAGAGGCCTGGACTGGACTACAGGTAATTGCAATTAGGACCTGGTCTGGGGCAAAAGAGGCTCAGGGATGGGCCTTTCAGAGACAGGACAGAGAAGGAAACTCTGTGGGAATATCTGATTTCTGCTGGCTTGCCAAAACCAAATCAACCCTCCTTAAGCCTCCATGCATCCTTTCCTTGACAGGGATGGTGATTTAAGGCACAGGATTTGGGTTTCTGTCTTTTCTTAATTCATCAATTTGATGGGCTGAGGCCCAAGTCAATGGGCAAAACTGGTTTCTTAAATGGGGGGGGAATCTCAGTGAACTGCAGAGATTGATTGGCATCCTCAGCTTTGTCATCCTCACATCATTATGGGAGAGCAGAGGAAGGAGGCAAGATGCAAAGCCACTGAAGAGAGCCCCCTTGGATTTAAAGGTTAGTTTTAAGGTACGCTTTAAGGTTTTCTTGGGCCACCATTACAAAATGCCACAGGTGGAGTAGCTGAAACAACAGAGAATTTTACCACAGCCCYAGCGGCTGCAAGTCCAACTTCAAGGTGTTGGTGGGTTTGCTTTCTGCTGAGGCCTCTCTCCTTGGCTTGCAGATGGTGGTCTTCCATGTCCTCACATGGCCTTTGCTCTGTGCATTCCAGGTACATACATCCCCAGTGTCCCTTTGTATGTCCAAGTATCCTCTTCTTGGAAAGACAGAGTCAGATTAGATTATGCCCCACCTGAACAGCCTGATTTTAACTTAATCAATTCTTCAAAGGCCCTGTTCCTTAGTCATTTATTCTAAGACACTGGGAGTTAGGTCTTCAACATATCAATTTAAGAGGAGAGCAATACGAATCTGTCCCTAATAAGTTAATTTGTGGAACAGAGAGAAAACAAACAAAATAACAATAACAATAACAACAACAACAACAAGAAACAAGTAGAGGGCTTGTAATTCAGGCAGCTAGAGCAATAACTTTCCCAAAGACAATGACCACGTCTGCCACTCTGACCAAATGGAGACTTGGCCAATTAATTGACGTCTGGACAAAAGAAGTAACCAGGCACTTACCCCCTCCAGGAGCACGGTTGCTGCAATAGTCTCCAAGTTTTCATTCTCTAAGAATGTCCCTAGACCCTGGGGGGGCTAAGGTCGCAGCAACCTTTAGACCTGGCCTCCTGGGGCCAGGTTTGCTGCTCACCATACCTGTTGGACTCCATGGCCTGAGCCTTCTCCCTACTTGTTGCAAGCCAGCCATGGGCTGTGTGTGTGAGCTATGAACATTTGAGCACATGAGGGGACTGGACAGATGTTGCTGCTTTGACTGGACTGTGCGACGTGCCCTTTTCACTTGCTCTGTCTTTGATCCCACAGGGCACCTGAGATGGGTGTGGCCTTCCAAGATGTCAGTCAATCTGCTGGCCACAGGACATCACCAAGCAACCCCCTGAAACCTAATCCCTTGCCTTATTTGGGTTGAACTTTCTCGAATGTCTTTTTCCTCAATAAATAGGTTGGCTTCAAGCATTCTCTCTCTCTCTTTCCAACGGATCCCTAAGGTCGAGAGCCAACCCTGATTCTTGCAAGCAGAAGGTCTTTCTGTGTGTTGCATGCTTCTTTCGCCGTTCTCTTAGTTATTGTTGCAGCCAGCTTTTGTGAACCCAGCTCAGGTCACCAGCCTGGCTAGCTGGTTTTACCTCTTGGCATAAGAGTATACCTTGTTCTGTGACTGCTGGGAAGAGTGACTTGGATAACCCATGTGAAGGGATTAGCCTGATACCTCGCCCATTGTAAACACTCAATTGAAAAGCTGTTTTAAAAATTGCTGGCTCCAAATTTAACTTAACCCCCAACTGAATCCTATTAAATTTCACTCATTCCTTCATGGAGGCTTTAAAAAAATTCATTCCAAAGGATAATATGTAATTATAAAAGCCATACATGTTTAAGTATTTTTTTCTAAAGGAAAAATACAATAATATCGAAGAAAATGGGAAAAGCTCTTTCTCAATGGCTCCTGGTCTCCTGCTTTGAGTCAGGCCCAGTCCTTTACAGGCTCATCTACTTAATGAAGAGACTCCTCTGTCCCAACTGCAAATTGGAGATGGCATAATTGTAGCTTCATAGCCAAGAAGAATAGATGAACTGGCGCAGCATAGTCAAGAAGGAAGCCCTGGGCTGGCACCTGCGTGCATGTGGCAATGGCCCCAGGAGCCTTGCTATTCTTACCACTGTCATGAATTTGTCCACAGGGTGCAAAGGAGAACCTGGACTGGATGGCAGGAGGGGCAATGATGGTGTCCCTGGGCCTCCTGGACCTCCTGGACACAAAGGTGATGCTGGAGAGGCTGGTTGCCCTGGAGCCCCAGGTAAGGGTTTCTGTTTCTCCTCTTTTCTCTGATGCTGGGGACCTAAGATGCTCTGTCCTCTCAAGCAGCTTTGCAAACAGGATGTTCTTAGAAGTATTTGCCTTAGAAACCAGCTCAGCAGGTACTAGGGAGACATGAGAAGCGGGTGGCTGTGTCTCCCATATTCAAATGGATGCAAAACCATCCAACAGATCTAGTCCATAAATCCTGTCAGCACTCTCCCAGACTGCTCTGCGTCATCATGAATGGCTCGGCTATTGCAGCTGTTCCGTTTTCAAGGCTCTGCAGGGCCCATCAGCCTGGTTTACTATGGGATTGCCCTTGAGAGACTGCTGAGGATCTTGGGCACAGTGAGTGTTCCCAACCTGCGTCACTGGCTGTATGGCTTGGCCTGTGGTTTTTTTGAGTTTACTTCTTATCCATGTGTGTATGTATATAGGTAGGTAGGTGGGTAGGTACTGGAAATGGAACCAAGGGCATTTTACCTCTGAACTACATCCCCAGTCTTATTTTTTGAGACAGAGTCTTGCTAAGTTGCCCAGGCTGGCCTCAAACTTGTGATTCTCCTCTCCCAGCCTCCCAAGTTGGTGGGATTATAGGCGGACACCCTGGCATCTGGAACTTGATCTTATTGAAATAGCTACTGATACATATATATAGAATACAGGGCTCTTAAGGAAAAAACTGGGGGAGTAGGTAAGAGGGGAGATATGACTCTTCAGAATATAAATCTGAACTATAATGCAAGGGATGGGTGTGTAGCTCAGTGGTAGAGCACTTGCCTAGCATATGTAAGACCCTGGGTTCCATCCTCAGCACATCAGAAGGAAAAAAATAGAAAAAAAAAAAACAGGTAGCATTTCAGGCATGAGGACCCAAATACTTAAGACACAATCTTTGGAGAGCATCTGTCAAGGGAAGTCCACACCTGGTTGGTAATGAGCAGTAATGAGCCAGGAGGGCTGGGTGGACAGTGCCTGCAGCAGAGTGGAGCTTGGTTCTAGAAGATGCGGCTTTGGCCAGTTGTTCCCTATACAGATGCACATCCAACATGCTTTTCTTTCAAGTATGAAATTTTGAATTGTGAAATCTTTACAGGTCAAACAAAACACATGAGCAGACCTGATTCAGTCCACAAGCAGCCACTTAGTAATCTCTGATTTACAGTGTAGATGGGGAGAGCCTGTCAGTCTTGCAGGAACAAGTTGATTAAAGCAAAAACAAAACACCTTTCATTTCAAAGTCTAACTTCACCTTTTGTTCTTGGCAATTAGAAAGAGCCAATTGGCCTGGTCACAGGTCAGCTCCTTTGGGGTGTCAGAGGGGACAGACCTTGCTTGCTTTTCATAGAGTGCTTATTTCTCATCTGCCAACAAGAATTCTAAAACTAGCCCTTCCTTCCACCTCACTCCCTTATAAAAGAAGAGAACTTTGCAAGTTCAAGACCGGCCTGGGGGAAAAAAAAGGCGTGGGGGTTAGCTCAGCGTTATGGCAGGCACCCTGTGGCTCAACCCCCAGCAGAGAGAGAGAGAGAGAGAGAGAGAGAGAGAGAGAGAGAGAGAGGGAGAGGGAGAGATAGAGAGAGATGGATGTGTGTGGATCCCAAGCCCCCTCCTCAGAGTGGAACCTATAATGTTTTGGTGTTTCGGAGCCAGAGAGGCCTGGCACTTGTATGAAGACCAACTTTGAGGAGGCCGGCCCCCAGCCAGGTCTGAGAAGGCAGGGAGACCACACTTAAATGTTCTTCTTCTTGCCAGCACTTATTACTTCCTAAGGTGCTTTACAACTTCCCATTTTGTTATGCTTATTGTCATTTCTTTTCCTCAAGTGGCATGAAGCTCAGGGAGGGCAGGGATTGCCCTGTTTTCTCTTTTTATGCGAATGTAGCTCAAGCACCTAGAAGTTGCTGGTACCAAATACAATCATCCCTGAGGATTCACGAGCTGGGGTTGGTTCCAGGACTCACTGCAGATGCCAACATCCAAGGCTGCTTTCCTCGGGCATACTATTTGTACATGACCTATGCACATCCTCTTGTATACTTTAAATCATTTCTAAACTTCTTTTAATATCTTATACCATGTAGGTGCTATGTAAGTAGCTGTTATTCTTTGCTGTTTAGGGAATAAGGACAGGGGAAAAAGTCTGCATGTTAAGTACAGATGCAATTTTTTGTTTGGAGTATTTTCAATCTGTGGTTGGCAGAACCCATGACTGCGGCACCTGCAGATGCAGAAAGAAGATGGCACTTGCTGGAGGAGTCGTGTTTATGCCTGTTGTGGCACTTGCTGGAGGAGTTGTGTTTGTGTATACTGCAGTTGTGTGAGGGGGATACTCCTGGAAGTGGCCTGTGTCCTGCTTCCTTCCCTCTTCTGAGTGCTCAGTACAGCACTGGAATAGAGGTTCTTGGAAATGTTTGTTGAACAGAACCCCCTAAGCTTTTCTTTTCTTTTCTGCTCCAGGCCCTCCTGGTTCCCCTGGTGATCCTGGGCCCAAAGGAGTTGGCCCTGGATACCTCAGTGGCTTCCTCCTAGTACTCCACAGCCAGACAGCTCAAGAACCCTCCTGCCCTGTGGGCATGCCCCAGCTCTGGACCGGGTATAGTCTGTTATACCTGGAAGGCCAAGAGAAAGCTCACAATCAAGACCTTGGTAAGGATATATCACAAGATTCCCTTGCCATTGGAGAATAATACCTCAGGGTTAATATTACAGATTCATCAATGTTCATCTTTTATGAGATTATTATTACTTCAAAAACTACTATGCTAATTGCCAACTATCTTTTGAGGTATCAAAGAAACTTATTCTGTTTATAGTTATTATTATCTGGCCACCTATTATTCATTACAAAAAATAAGATAAAATAAACAATTTTTCCACAATAAGGTAAATACAACTCTGTCATAAAAGGCAGTTTTTACTCCCAAATGTGAACTATTTAATCAGGACCTGGGGAGTTCCTGGATTTCATACATGTACAATGGCACATGGCCACGCCTGGTGGTTATACCTCATAGCACCTGCCAACACCAATTTGTTGTTAAACTGCAGGACTTGCAGGCAAGGGTTTAGGTACTGGGTTCTGACAAACACTGTCTTTCCAAGACAGCAGTGGTTGAAGGGCAGTGGGAATTGATGCACCAAGGGGACTGTGACCCCAATGTTAGAAAGAGAGTTACAGGCACAAGCCTAGGGTGACAGCTGCTCACACATCCATCTGCCTTTCTCCTTGGGTTCAGCTGTGACCTTTCCCATCACAGTTCCCTTGAGCACGGGACAGGAGGAAGAAGGAACATTTGAGGTCTTATATGTATATATATAAATTTCAAGTCCCAGCTTCAAATAACTCCTCCAGTTGTCACTCCCAGAGCCCCAGGTACCCCTCCTTCATAGGGTTGTCAGGCTGAATTTTCATTGTCTGTCTGCCTGCCTGGCTGCTCCGCCTGGCCCCTGAGCTTCACTTAGACAGACAGATGATCCTACACACCTCCAGCACCTGCCCATTGCTGGGCTCACGGGGGAGGGAAGAGCAGATGAGGACTGGCCCACGCGGTCCCACCACCACGGAGCAGGTTGTGACGTGAGCCTCCACAGACCAGAGCAGGTGTCTGCGCATGTCCTGTGTGGAAAGGTCCCCTCGCAAGCATAGGTGGCTCACACTGGTGTCTCTCCTTTGCTCCGAGGTCTGGCGGGGTCTTGCCTTCCGATGTTTAGCACCCTGCCCTTTGCCTACTGCAACATCCACCAAGTGTGCCACTATGCCCGGAGGAACGACAAGTCCTACTGGCTAGCCAGCGCAGCGCCCCTCCCCATGATGCCCCTCGCAGAGGAGGACATCCGCCCGTACATCAGCCGCTGTGCCGTGTGCGAGGCCCCCGCACAGGCGGTGGCGGTGCACAGCCAGGACCAGACCATCCCCCCGTGTCCACGGGCCTGGAGGAGCCTCTGGATCGGTTACTCCTTCCTGATGGTGAGTGCCCTGCCCTGGGGTCTTGTCACACCTGCTGTGTTCTAGCACCTTCTCTGGCCCTTTCTGTCTGGGTTGGACAGTAATTTTGCTCACTCTGTGCAGACAGCAGTAGGACATGAGGTCGTGAACGCCATTACAAACCACAGTAGATTGAGATACAGGGCCACTATTATTTTTTTATTGTCAATTTTTTTATCACTTTGGTAGAATTTAGAAAATGGATTTGCTTTAGCTATTGGCAAAATTGGCTCCGCTGTGTGCTTCCTACTACTTCCCAGTGGGTTGTACTTTGTTCTTTATGAAATGATTTAAAGAAAAATGTTAACAGCGGGCCCAGACCTGGGCATGGCCCCGAAGTGGGTATGGGCTGTGGGCGTGTATCTGAGCCCTAATTCTCTCTTGTTGCCTGCGTAGCACACAGGAGCTGGGGACCAAGGAGGAGGGCAGGCCCTCATGTCGCCTGGCAGCTGCCTGGAAGATTTCAGAGCGGCACCGTTCCTTGAATGCCAGGGCCGGCAGGGAACTTGCCACTTTTTCGCAAATGAGTACAGCTTCTGGCTGACGTCGGTGAAACCAGACATGCAGTTTTCCTCCGCCCCCTCACCAGACACCTTGAAAGAAGGCCAGGCCCAGCGCCAGAAAATCAGCAGGTGCCAGGTCTGTGTGAAGTATARCTAGAGAAGGCGGAACTCATCAGCGTGTGCCAAGAGACACTTCGGAGGGAGCTCAGGCTTCCCAGGCTGTGCTAAGAGATTCACTGGTGCTCATTCTGGACCCCACTTCATTTTCAGCTGTTCCCTGTCTCAAGGTGGTCATTCCCATAGTCCTCCAGGTCCTCCTCCCTCCTTCCTTGCCGATTAAGCAAAGGTTACATGGTGGATTTGTTTTTACCCACTAATCTAGATGAAGTCCACATATTCTTGCTTTGTTGGGGATGGTGGAGTATAGGCTTTATTTGAAAATATGTGAATCCCCTAAAAGGTGAGTGGATGGTAAAAGCAAGATTACAAATTATGCTACTGAAAATTTCATTCACTGGTTAACAGCATCTCAAACAAATGAAGTCAATTACTCTATAATATAGTGGCTTTTGGATGGATTTTACAGGAAAAAAAAATAGGGCAACAAATGAAACCAGAAAGTAGAGATTTTCAACATTTCAAAAATGATTTCCTCTGTAATCTATTTTTTTCCACGCACTTTAAATAATCATAAAACCATGACCCAAAGAGATTTAAAAAAAAGAAAGAAAGAAAAAGAAAAAAAAATAATCCACACTGCCAGCATTAACAGTTCATTTCAAAGCAGAATGAATCACTGTGCCAGGAAGGCCCACAGTCGCTGTATTCTAGAGCTGCCACATTAGCATAAACACATCACAGATGAATATAAAAACATTATGTTCTCTTCTGCATTTTTCAGAGAATGGAAATGCCTACTTTGGCAACCCTTTTGAAAAGTAGCAATTATGGAAAAAATATATTCAATAAGGGATTAGGAGCCTAAAAGCTATTAATGAATATTAAAGTAGTGATTCACAAAAATTGACTCTCCATTGCAGTGAGCTCCCAAACAGACCGCTTTTCCCCAGTCGGGGTCCTCAGTGCTAATGGGACTGAAACCACATGGGGCTTACTCAGGCGGGCACAGGGTTTCTATAAAGCATCTCTCTCCCGCCCCAGGAAAACCTGCAGAGCTTCCTTACAGCTCACAATTGACACTTTCTCTCCACATACATAATGCCAGCTCACTTGGGGACATGACAGGGCTATCATTATGCACTTGGGAGTAAATTAAGGGCCGACTTAATTAAGCTTAGGTAAGAAAATTCATTTAAGGGTCACCCCCCCCAGGAAGGTATGGACAGTCTTTAAAAGAAACAAAGACAATCTACAACTTGAATTTTATATTCCCATGATTCGTGTTTAAAGGAACATCCCAGTTTGCCAATTTTAAAAACATACCTTTTATGAGTATTGTACCGAGGCAGTCATTTGACATTTGGCATCAGTAATTTTTATAAAAGTTTAGAAGCTGTGTCACTTTCAAATAGGAAAAGGTCTGTTTTCTATTTTGCCAGGAATCTGATGGTCTAATCCTACAAAACAGAAGATTTGTTAGAAAAGATTTTCAGGAAACTGATCTTCCTCACATAAAGAAAGTGTCATTTGGGAGAAAACTGAAGGAACTTTTCATGAAAGTAACATCCATATTAGTGCTTACTTTCAGTGTGCTTAAAAATAATTGAGAGAAAACTCAATTAAAATTTTGTTTATAACAAATGTTTTCCTTGCCAAACTTTGGTTAGTAATGAGTTCTTCTCTGTAGAATAGATTTTAAATGTGTTTTCTATGGGCTTCCTGTGGGAGGGCAATCTATTTTAAGGGTACATTCTGCTAAAAAGGATAAATGTATATTTTAAGTTGAAATTTTTTATTGATGTAGCAAAACATTCCTAGTTAATTTGCCCCCCTTTTAACCATGCTATGCATGTTAAATATGTCTGGGTAGCTCAAATTTAAGCCTATTAGAGGTAAGGGTGAAAAATGGAACATCAGAATTGTATCTTGTTTGCTAAATTATTTTAAATCCTTTAACTCTGGTATTAGAATATTATCTTAGCAAACTTTAAAACATGTAAAACAAACAAACAATACAACAAACACTAGGCTGCATTAAGTGACTTTCCTCCACAGTGTGTCTGGGACAGTGAGTATAAGGTAGTTCAGAATACTGACATCACAGGAGTCCTCTCTAAATATAGCCCAAATGCTGCCCTCCTGGCTTTGAAGAAGTATTTTAAATGGTCAAATTGGCAGAATAGGAAAAATAACTTATTTATTTTAAGCCATTATTTATTTCACCTGGTTATATATCAATGTGCTTTAAATTACCCTTTCTCTTGAAGGCCATGAATTTGTTCTAATCCATCACTGGTAAATGATCCTTATCAAAATCTCTCTCCCCCTAACTGGTTGGACTGTACCTTGATTGCCTAGTGGGAAGTGCTCTGAGGCTCATGCTGGAGGACTAGGATGCTTCTTCCCTCTGGATCCTTATTCTGGGAAGGACACYAGGTGGTCCTCCACGCTGCATGTGGCGGGTTCCTTCTGCTCTCCAACTCCTCAGGCTGCACCCGAGTCATCTTCCTCTGGATTGCTGCCTCCTCTCCAGCCTCTTTGTACCTAACGAGACTCTCCAACTACCCTCTTGCAGTAGACATCTTCCGACCAGTTCCTCCAGTTTCAAATCTCAGTTGTCATCTAAGTTCCATCCAAACTTGGCTTTGTTATCTTTTGGCTTAAAACCCTTCAATGACTGCATTGCCCAAGTCCAAATGACTTCACAATGGGTGAGAGGTCCAGCATGAACTGTCCATGGCTTACACCTGGGACTATCTCTTGCCACCATGAATTGCACACCGTTCTGCAAACTCTCGCAGTACCTCTGTGCCTTTGGTTCCTTCTCTTACACCAGCCATATCTTCCCTCTGGTCTACTGACTTGGCAGATGCCTACATATCTTTCAAGACTAAATTAGGGGCATGCATGTGAATTCCCTCAAGGAGATTTGGACTCTCTTCAGCTGCCACCAATACAATTAGTGGGGCTGGCCTCTCTTTCTGTTTCCCCAGTACTTCTCTAAGGTCTCAGCACATGTCCTTCATTCCCTAACTAAAATCTAAGCCTCCGGAGGGCAGGGACCACACTTCATTTGTCCAGTGCTAGCAGAACTGAGCATACTKTTGCCAACACTTTTATTCAATGATAATTCTACAAGCCTCATTAGGCATTAGATGTTCAGGTCTGCATATAAGGTCCTCAGTGGTAAAATGGTAAATAAGCCATTTCTTACTTCAAAATATCAGAATGTTCAACATTCTGCACACCCACAATCTCCTATTACAACTCCTGCAGAAAGACAATTAAGCTTTAGTCATCACTTTTCCCCTCAAAAATAATTTTTAATACAAAATGAAATTTCAGAAATGATGAGATTTAAAAGACTTGGCTTAGAGAAGACCCTTCATTGTACTGTGCCATGACAGTTCATACTGTAACCACTATTCCCTCTTGATTTAAGAGCTTCCTAGCAAAAGTATGCCTCTACAAAATTTGTGTGTATGTAATGGTGCTTAGAAAAATAGCCAGTGGAATGGTCCATGAAACTTAAGATTTTTATCAAAGATTTTATTTGGAGCCTATTGTAGATTAGCAAACCATCTGTGTTCCAGGAAATTATATTAGATTTGTGTTTTATCAGCTCACTGCAATAATTTGACAATTGTAACTTTTACTTGGTTCAGCTGCAAGAATGGTGGGAAAATGACTTTAGAGTCGGTTGTACGCAGATCTTGATCCAGCTCCATCTCTATCCAGCTGGTTCACCTGGGCCAGTTCCACAACTCCCTCAACCTCACTTCCCTCATTTATCTAATAGGATGATAGGACATAATACCTACTCTTGTGTTGAAAGTTAAAGTTAGATTATCTCTCTCACAAATAGCTATCATCATGCATTGATTATGGCCACATCTTTTATTTAATTATTCAATGTGAAAAATATTCCTTGGTTTTTTTTTAACACACAATAGAGAGCTATGATTCTCAAAAGGCATACAAATTACTGATTAGAATTATTATACCTGGTCAATTCTTAATGTTTTGGGGAATGCTATTTTATTTATATCCTCAAAATTACTGTACCAAACACACACACACAATCATAATTTCCTGCAGGGACATTACTGGTAAGTTCTGTGGGGAACAAACAATTGACGTTAAAGATCAGTACTGTGTAATTGTCACTGTTATTATCTGCCAGAAACTCTGCATAATGCATTTTAAACCACCAAGGCTGGCTGCCACATTTGTGTGAAATGCTTGAATTTTATGGTGCTTAAATATTTAAAGATTTATGGAAAAAAATGTGAAACATGGCTAATAAATTGCATTCCTCTCTCTAACCTAGAGTTGTAAAGCTACAAGTAACTTGAACAAGTAACTTCTGCAAGATGCCTGGCTTGCCATTGACACTTAAGTCTTTGCTGTATTACCACTTATATATAATATGGTTCCTTATACATAAARTTCTGTAGTGGCTTCCCTAAATAATTGTGTTTCGTTTGAATTAATTTTCTTTCAAGCCAAAGTGGATTTACTTTGTTTAACCTACTTCATAATGGGTCCCACCCTTTGAAATGGCATAGTGGGGACAATAAGGAATGTTCCTTGGTGGATGTGAATTGAAAAGGGAAGATCAGAGGCTTGAACGGATGGGATTCTGAGGCTCTGTGAAGCACAGTTCTGCACCCAGTGAAGGAGACAAAAAACAAAAACAGGCCTGAGGGCAGAAAGGCTGCATCTACACCCCTTGAGTTGCCTGAACAGTGTGTGGCTCAGACATTTCTGGGCCTCAGTTGTCTCATTAATTGAGCAAGAATGAAACCATCTGCTTCACAAGGTTATTCTGCAGGATTAAAGGTATGTGAGTCAGCTATAGAAATATGAAATGTAACCTGTAGCCCTGAGTTGCTGGGCTTGTGGATAAGTGGAGTACAGGTGATCAATAAGTTTCTTGGACTTAGTCTTTTAAATGCAAGGGAACTTTAATGATATTTGGTTAAAACTCTTACCTGATGGGAAAATAAGGATATTTAACATTTCTTGTGCACCTACTATGTAACAGAAACCATATAAACCCTACCATATGTGCTCCCTCAACGCCACAAATATCCTACTTTACCTCTAAGGAAACTGTTTTAGAATAAATAACCTGCTCAAGGTCATAGAGTTAGTACCTAGAACTTGAACCCGCTCTGCCTGTTGCTATAGACAGTGCTCTCACTCATGACACCATTACCTCTTAGGAACTTTCTCTACTTCTGGATAGGTTAGAAAATAGTGATCCCAGTTGGTGGGGAGGCCAGAGAGCAGGCTCTGCTGTGCACAAATGGGGTGGGSTCAAAAGCCTGGGTGGAGCCCTGTTATCCAGGCTAACGACTCCCACTTTTATCTTTGGCAACCAACAGACAATAAAAGGCATCTGAGATGATGAGTGGCATTGCAAAAGAGTGGTTTTTGGAAGCCTAGATGGGTAGCCTGGTGGAGAATGAGTGAAGACTTTGAAGCACTGAGCAGAGTAATGACTTGAAAGATTTTAAGGTCCTCCTGAGAGTCTGTGGTTTGAAAATGAAATATTAGGGGCCCCAAAAATTTAAATAGAAAGAAAATTAGGAAATGACTGTAGTGAGCCACAGGAAGGGAAAGGAAGAAATGATAAGCTTTTTTAAGTGACTAAATGAATATTTTAGCTATTGAATAATCAATCTCTGGAGAGAAACTAAAACTGGGAACAAGGATGCAAGGTCTTCCCCCACCCCAACCCCACCTTCTGATCCTGTGTGTGGAGRGGTCACCTCATTCCCTTAGCTTACTCCCCAGGCAGCAGAACATGTGCCAAATACGTAGACTGGCCCTAGTGCTACCAAAAGTAGTTAATTCCTTCTTAGCTTGAGCTTCATCAGCAGGCATTTATAAAGACAGAGGAGAGTTGAACATTACTGTGCACAACTGTGGAATCTCAGGCAATGAATTTCAACTCATGAACAGGAAGTGATTCTAACTACTTCCTCTTGAGAACCAAGGAAAGAGTCCAAATTAAAAGGTCTCTTAAGTTTACTTACCACAACAAACTGTGGGAACTGGGTGTGTAACAAGTGATCAGGAAACTATGATTAAAGAAAGAAACCAAATTAAAGAATCAGCTCTTAAAGTTCACTCCCTATTAAAGATACTTTGTTTAAGGCATTGCCTTTATCTGTCTTTTCTAACCCAGTTCCCGTTTGTTGGCATAACTTTGGGGATTCCTTACTGTAGAGGAAAAAACAATGATACCCCCTCTCCCAAATCGACACTGAAGACAGTAAACACTGGTTATAGGCAAGCCCATTAACTGAAAAACGTAATTATAATAATTTCCAGAACATCTTTATTTTGTGCAAAAATAGATGGTTTATATTTATTACTAAAAGACCTTTCCCACATCTCCGAATGTTTGGTAATCTTCCACTCCATAACTAAAGAAAGCATGCATATTATATCTATACCACCCCAAATCTAATTCCAGTGTTTTAGTATCTGACAAATCACATAGAGTGAGGTGGTACTACTATTGAACTCCAGCAATAAAAACATAGCCAGAAAGCCTTTTAAAGAAACTGGAAAAACACTTTGGTGGGAAACTAACTTTTAATAAGCCCCTACCTACCACAAGCCTCGGGCTGGTAGAGGTGGGACACAGGGAGAATGCAGAAAGGTAAATAAAACACAGGTGTCGTTCCAGGGTCAGTCACAATCCTCACTCCCTGTGGAAGGCACATCTTGGTGTAGTTATACACAGATGATGATGGCAGTGGAGAGATAAGTGTTACAGCATAATTTCTATGTGTATGAAAATATGGCATGTAAGAAAGAGGTTACTTCTTCTAGAAGTCAAATTTATAGAGTTGGGAGATAATAATAATTTAGCTTTTGAACATTTTAATATAAATATTATTTAAAGCTACCAGACTTGGATACAATTTATATTATCAACAAGCTGTAGTTTTACATCAGTGATACATTAAATCAAGGAGCTTGGGTGTCACTGTGCCAGCTGGTGGCAGGTCGGAGAGTTCCCTGGATCCATGTGGTTTTCTTAGCTCCTTTATATGTAGGTGTCAAGATCTCTTCCAGGTATATACAGATTAGGAACTGGATAAAAAACTGCATAGCCAGTGTGCTGCAAAATTTGTGAAATGTACAAAACCAAAAATCGAGAAGGCACTTCCCCAAAATATTAACCCTGGTTACCTCTGAATGGTGGGTATACAGGTGATTTTAAAATTGTGTATGTATTTATTTGCATTACTGTTGTATCCTGTGAGTTTTCTTAGTGGATGCATAGTATTTTACCTTTGTTTTACTGGTTATGTATTTCTTGATTCATTATATAAACTGGTTTTCCTGACTGCAGTACCTGCCACACTCTTAAAAAATTAGCAATATAAAATTATAAAAAGAAAGCAAAATCACATGTACTCCACCCCTCAAAAATAACCTGTTGGGGCTGGGGATGTGGCTCAAGAGGAAACACGCTCGCCTGGCATGCGCAGGGAGCTGGATTCGATCCTTAGCACTACATAAAAATAAAATAAAGATGTTGTGTCCATGGAAAACMGAAAAATAAATTTAAAATTTTCTCTCTCTCTTTCTCTTCTCTCTTAAAAAAAAAAACTGTTAACACTTAGTATTATTTCATTCTAAATGTTTGCTTTATGCATATAGAAGGCATATTTATTATTTTCATAGTCAGAAAACTATTATAAATGACAGATAAGTCAAAAGAGGAAGATTTTTGACTGCTTCTAAGTCTCTTTAAAAATAAATAGCTCCATGACAATTCAACATTAATGATGTTTGGCTTTGTTCTTTTTTATTCATAACACACCTGCACCAGGAAATACCTTAAATGACTTCAACAGACAATCTGTGTCTAACACTGCAGGGCCCTAGGGCATGTTTTGAACACTTGTCCAGGACAAATGGTAGTTACAGAGGACAATGAAGAGGCACTTTTTTAAAGGAAAAAATACTTCCTGTAAGGAGGATTGCTAGTGTTCAGTCCACTGAATGCCTTCACTCTACTCTGTATGTGGCTGCTGCTGCTTTGCTGATGAGATACATGATAGGTCCCATCTTGTGGGTATACTTACTGCCACTGGAGGGGTGGCTGTTAACTCTGACTGCAGGTGCCATCTGATACCTAATGGAGTGGGCAGGTGTTTTCTCCATCTTAGGCCATTCTTACACTTCTTCAGTAAAACATTCTTTCTATAGGCAGAGCAACACAAAAAGCAAGCCACTGTGACTAGCACCCAGACCTGGTGGCCAGAGGAGCTGAGATGCTTGGGAGAAGAAGAAGAGAACAGTATGCTGGGAAGGTAGTCACATCCTCTTCCTGGGCAGTCACCATGGCAATGTGCCCATCTCCTGCCAAGTCAGCACAAGAACTCCAGGCAGAGTGAGGGACTGATCTTCCCATCTTGTGAAAACAAAGCTTCCTGGTGAAAGTCACAGTCTTCAAAAGCAAAATAGGGCAGAGGCACCACTGAGTCAGGAGAGAGAGAAGGAATGTGGAAACTGGTCCCAAAGTTGAGGAAGTGACCTTCTGTTAGAGCAGAAAATAGGGCCAGAAGGACCACTCCCAGAAGCTGAGCCCACCTTGGACAAGTTCAGTTTTCAGAAAAGGCAATMTGGACTTGCAGGGGCCATGGAGTGATGGTTCACAGCAGACAAGAGCAATCTGGGGCCATAATGGTATATTCTGTTTTTGTTTAAAACTAATTAGGGGCTTGGGGAGTGAGCCAAATGAGCAATAGTTACACAACTGGACCATGTCTTCCCAAGACCTTGTGCCACCTCACTGGCCATCAAATCTGTAAAGCCGTTGTCTCCTCATTTCTTCTGGTGAGAGGTGAAACCCATAGGATGGTGGGCTATTTCTGGTGTTTCCTGTAGTGAGAAAGGAAAGGGAAAATCAAATACTGGCTATCTGATTCTGACACTTAACAAGGCATCATGTACGCTAGGATTCTGAGGGGCGGGAGAATGTCAACATAGCACTTTGGTGTCATTTTTATTTTAACATGAAAAAGGTATATAACAAACGTATTTAAACTTCAGCTGTCAATATTAATTTCAACATCAAGTCAATATTTTTAGCATGGTTCAGTCCCTGGAACTTAATTTGATTAATTCTGGCTCTTCTTAACATTCCTCTCTGTTCCTTTTTCCTTCCACCAGGCTCCATATTTTGCATTACTTAGCCTACTTAGCCCTCCATCATATCTAGGGCTTAGTTTTCTTTCTTCTTCTTTTTTAAATGCCCATCTATCTCTACTAACTTGTCCTCTGGGGCCTTCCTTTCCCTCCCTCTAACCTCCCACCTTCTATCCCACTCTTGTGATCAGAATCTCACCCTGAATGAGACAAATGGGGACAGCATGGGCCACAGAGCACTGATGGGCACCTGGCCAGGCGGACAAAAGTTCAGGCATGATATTAAAAGGTCATAAGAAGGTACTTTCATATGAAGGACCCTTCACATGACTGTTAAATATTGTGCCTGATTTTTCATATGAACTCTCCATCTGAAGTTTTTCAAACCTTTCATATTAAAAAGGTTTCTTCTATCTATAAACATACTACAATGTAGTTTAAAATGACATAAATACTCTAGTTACTATAGAGAAAACACTTTCAGGCATCACATAGAGTAATAAAGGAAGAAAACCATACAGTCCTTGATGTCAAGGGACCAGCAGCCAAACCTACCAAGAGAGCCTCCGTATCCTCCATGAGGACCACGGACCGGTAAGTAGCCGGCCCACTTTGAAGCACATGGACCAAAAGGCTACATCTTCTCACTTTCACATCTCTGAAAACCCTGTTAATTTTCCCTGAACTCCCCCCACTTAGTACCTACACCAACCAAAAGCATTATTCTGCCCTCTTCAGTGCCTTGCCACCCACTAGGGAACTTTCCAA